CCGATGCAGGGCTCAATCCCAGGACCATAAGATTGTGACCAGAGCCAAAATCAAGAGTTGGACACTTAATCGACTGAGTCACCCAGACACCCCTCTTTTTAAGATTTTATTTTTAAATAATCTCTACACCCAACATAGAGCTCAAACTGACAACCCTGAGATCATAAGTCACATGCTCCACCAACTAAGCCAGCCAGGCACCCCTATCCTAGCTTTCTTAAACAGACTGTATATCAAGGTAATGAAATAATCGATAAGGTGCAAGTTCTCTTTATAGAAGCATCTTAGCTAATAAATGAAGAAGGAATTATAAAATTAGATATTTGCAAACCCTAAAGAACTAATGGAACTAGGCAGTTATCATCAATGACTGCTCACCATAAAGAGAGAACCAAATACTATGTGTCTCCTGATGGAAATACATAATAGCATATATAAAGTATCCTTACATTACCTATGCTTCTGGCCCTGTAATCACACTTGAATTAAAACAAACCTCTAGGGGCGCCTGGGTGGCTCAGTTGTTAAGCGTCTGCCTTCCGCTCAGGTCATGATCCCACGGTCCTGGGATCTAGCCCCACATTGGGCTCCCTGCTCAGCGGGAAGCCTGCTTCTCCCTCTCCCACTCCCCCTGCTTGTGTTCACTCTCTCGCTGTGTCTCTCTCTGTCAAATAAATAAATAAAATCTTTAAAAAACAAACAAACCTTTAGAACTAATTAGCAATTAATAGGAAAAATAAGTAACAAAGGAAAATTCAATACCCCATGGATACAATCAGAAAAGTTTGGGTACGTTTTACAGAATAACCCAATTTCTTCAATAAATAAATGACTAGGGAAAAAAAAAGACACATGGCAAATTTACGGGATTAAAAATAGCATCAGCATATGCCCTGATTTGCCTGGGTGAGTTGTGGTTTATGCCTGTTGTCCCAATGTAATTATTAAAAGTAACTCTTTTCACTCTCAACAGTCACCTCAATTAAAAGAAACTTAAAAAAAAAAAAAAAACTTAAGACATAAAGAACTATTGCAATGTATGGGCATTACTTAGATTCTGCTTCAAACAAATACTTAAAAAAAAGAATTTCAGACAGTTGGGAAAATCTGAAGACTAAAATATGTGTTGATATTAAATTAATGTATACTTCCCCCCCCAAAAAAACAATGATAGTACGTTTTTATATGTAAAAATATCTTCTAGTGATATACTCTGAGATATTTACAGTAGAAATGACAGGATGTCTGGGACTTGCTTCAAAATAATCATGGTGTGGGAAAGAAAGAGGTTGAAGGGGGTGGGGTTTAAGGGTGGACAGTCAAAAAAAAACTGACCATGTGTTGATAATTTTGAAACTAAATGATCAGATTCATTATACTCATCTACTTTTAAATATGCTTGGAAGTTTCCATAATAAAAAGTAGAATAAGTACTGGTTAGGATGTTAGAGAAAGGGGAACTCTCGTGAACTTTTGGTGGGAATGTTAATTGGTACGACCACTGTAGAAAACACTGTGGAGGTTCCTTAAAAGATTAAAAATAGAAATGCCATATGATCCAGTGAGTCTACTATTGGGTATTTACCTAAAGAAAGCAAAAACACTAATTCAAAAAGAAACATGCCCCCTATGTTTATTGCAGCATTATTTATAATTGCCAAGAGATGGAAGCAACCCAAGTATCCATCAAGAGACAAATGGATAGAAAAAAATGTGGTATGTATGTGTACAAACAAAGAAACACACACAAACATACATACAAAATAATATTATTCAGCCATTAAAAAAGAATGAAATCTTGCCACGTGACAACATGGATGGACCTAGCAGGTATTATGGTAAGTGAAGTTAAGTGGACAGAGAGACAAATATCAAAAGATTTCACTTATATGTAGAATCTAAAAAATCAAACAAAAACACAGATTCTTAAATACAGAGAACTGGTTGTTGCCAGAGGGGAAGCGTGGGTGGTGATGGGTGAAACAGGTGAAGGGGGTTAAACAGACGACAAACTTCCAGTTATAAGTCGCAAAGATAAGAGTACAACATTAGAAATATAGTCAATAATACTGTAATAACACTGTATCATCACAAATGGGGACTATACTTATCATGGTGAACACTGAGTTATGTATAGAATTATCAAATCACTATGCTGTACATCTGATACTAATATAACACTGCATGTCAACTATGCTTCAATAATAATTTTTTTTAAGAGGCGCCTGGGTGGCTCAGTCAGTTAAGACTGTGCCTTCAGCTCAGGTCATGATCTCAGTGTCCTGGGACCGAGCCCTGTGTTGGGTTCCCTGCTCAGTGGGGAGTCTGCTTCTCCCTCTCCCTCTGACCCTTCACCCCCTAACTTGTGCTCCCTCTCTCTCATAAATAAATAAAATCTTTGAGAGAGAGAGAGAATGAGTAGGGAGGAGGGGCAGAAGGAGAGGGAGAAGCAGACTCCCCACTGAGCAGGGAGCCCGATGTGGGGCTCGGTCCCAGGACCGCGAGATCATGACCTGAGCCCAAGGCAGAGGTGTAACCGACTGAGGCACCCCACAAATAAAATCTTTAAAAAAGTAATTTTTTTTTTAAGTAGAATAAATTTATGGGTGGGTGGGTAGGTAGGCAGGCAAACATGGAGACAGACAAAGGCCAGCTGACAGATGGATGAGGCAGATGTGTATGCACGTTTATGGTCCCTTATGCACAATTATGAAACTTAAAAAGCCTTAAAAAATAATGTTGGCGGGCGCCTGGGTGGCTCAGTTGGTTAAGCGACTGCCTTCGGCTCAGGTCATGATCCTGGAGTCCCAGGATCGAGTCCCACATTGGGCTCCCTGCTCAGCAGGGAGTCTGCTTCTCCCTCTGACCCTCTTCCCTCTCGTGCTCTCTCTCATTCTCTCTCTGTCAAATAAATAAATAAAATCTTTAAAAAAAAAATAATGTTGGCAATTCATCTGACAGTCAACCTGAACTGACATGATAAAATACCCATGCATTCACTGCAGATATTTGTTTGATTCTGGGATGCTGCCTCAAATTATATTTGGAATTGTACTTAACATCTAAAAATCCAAAAAATTTTTAATTCCGCAATACATCTGTCCCCACAAGTTAAGATAAGGGATTTTGTGGAATTGTATTATCATGGAAAGGGTCCAAATATTAAGTAAATAAAGCATGCTACAAAATACTATATACTGCATGGTTCTATTTAGTGAGCACATCATCATTAACTAATGTGAGTATTCAAAAATGGGGAAAATTTAAAGTTTTTTAAAAAGTAGTTGCCGCCGTTAGAGAAGAGCAGCATAGGGACTTCCATTTTAATGCTTTAAATTTCTGAATTTTTCCATATTTTACCAGTATGTATTACTTTTTAATTTAAAAAGTAATGATTTTATAATAAAAACCAAAAAAGACTCTTTATGACACATATTAAAATATACAGAATTTTTCTAAATGAGGGAACAATACTGAGGCAAAAGTATTAGTTTACCTCTCTACTAACTAAACAAGCATGGTTGACAAAATAGCATCTTAACATAACTATTTCTAAGCACATTCCAGATTACATTCTGGAACTTAAAAAAGATGTTCTGAGCATATAATATGTGAACAATATTTTCAATATCAAAACTGCGTAGGGAAAATGACAAAAACAATTAATAGAAAAACTTTCCCAGGGCACCTGGGTGGTTCAGTCGTTAAGCGTCTGCCTTCGGCTCAGGTCATGATCCCAGGGTCCTGGGATCGAGCTCCACATTGGGCTCCCGGCTCCGCAGGAAGCCTGCTTCTGCCTCTCCCACTCCCCCTGCTTGTGTTCCCTCTCTCGCTGTGTCTCTCTCTGTCAAATAAATAAATAAAATCTTATAAAAAAAAAACTTTCCCTCTTCTTTTTGTGCATTTTCAAATTCAAATGTTCATAGATTCCCCCCCCGCCAAAATAATTAAAATTGGATTTCATTGTGCCAGTTTTCTCTTTTGGAAAATGTAGATAATAAGAGATAATAACAACCTCCTGAGGGTTGCTGTGAAAATTGAATGGATAAAAAGTGTGAAAGTCTTGCTTTCATGAGTGCTGGCACTTGGCCAAATACTCAATAAACATTATTGCTTTTATTACTAATATTGTTGTTATTATTCCTCTTAGTCAAAAGCCTGCTCCAGCCTACTATCTGCTCCATGGAAGAAGTTCTGAAGTGTCAACTGCAATGTTTTCTATATGACATGAAACAGCCGGGCCTCAGTTAGTCTCGGTCTATGTTAACCTGGTAATGAGATTTTGGGGGAAATTCCATTTAGAAGTTTTTATTCCAAATGAAACTTTTCAAACTTGAAAACAAACTTTTTGTCTTTGTAAAAATTAAGTGAATAGCACACTGTGTTTTGGATTGTGTTTATAACAAATCTCTTTTTAATAAAATATAAATATGTCTTAATGAAAAGTGTCATATAAATGTAAATCACACTGTTACTAAATACCAATGATTTGACTGATCTATAAAAGGGAAAGTTTGGTACTTTTTTTTAAGACATTTATTTACTTATTTACTTACTTTTTTATTTACTTATTTATACTTATTTATTTGAGAGAGAGAGTGCATGTAAGCACAAGCAGGGAGAGGGGTAGAAGAAGAGGGAGAAGCAGGCTTCCCGCTGAGCAGGGAGACCTCGCAGGGCTTAATCTAATCCCAGGACCCTGGGATTATGACCTGTGTCAAAGGTAGATGCTTAACCGACTGAGCCACCCAGATGCCCTGAAAGTCTGGTATCTTTTTGGCAACACGGGTGCCTCAGGCTTTCTAGCATGAGTATATTTTCAAAATGTAATCATGCACAGACAAAATATTACAATACAGTCTTAAAATCATAATGACTTAAGAGATAATTTAGCACAGCAGAGTTCATTTTAAAACATAACCTTGGTTACAACTAATATAGTTCTAACCTAATATAAAGAATATTAAGCTACATGATTATTTTTTATATCCATTACTTACCCTTTTTCATATGTAAATTCATCTTTCAGGGAATTAGCTGATGATTCCCCAATAAAGACAGATGGAATGTCAATTTTCTTTAGCACATCAACTGTATAAAATAATAATAAAATTATTCTTAAAATCCCATACTCCGTGTACAATCAACTTTACTTTCTTCATAATAGCAGCAAATGCAACTGGAAACAATTACAATCAATTCAAATTGGTTGATTTTCCTGATTGCAGATTTATACCATCATCAATCACAGTGGTTGAGAAATACTATTACATTTACAGTAACAAAAGCTAACATTTTGCATACATACATTATCATACTATCTCAACAGTCCTATGAAGATTAGATATAATTATTTTTAATATTTCCTTTTGATTTATTCTTCTATAGACATTATTAACTCTTAGAAAAGAGAAAGAAATTTTAAGTTTTCTTTCCACATATAACTTAAATGAAAAAGTGAAAAAGCTTTTTTTACATACCCATTCCCAGGAGACATGTAAGCCAAAGAATGTAAGAAAAGACCACTTTACAGAAGTCTCAAAAATGATACCATATATCTATGGCTTTCCAGAGTGAAGGGCTGACAGAAGTTGAGAAAGGGCACAGAATAGGAAAGCCAAGTAAATTTCTACTTCCTCCTAAGCCTGGAGTTCATAGTAAAGCTTTGTTTTGTTTGAGGTCTTAAGAAAGGGGACTCTTATACCTATTTATAAAACCAAAATCAAATGCCAACAAAAGAGAAGTTTATAAAAATTACCCATTACTCAGGAAGATCCTCTTAAATTTACAATAGAAAAAGCAGCCTTATTTTTAGCTGTGAGTTAATTTAACAAATTTGGCTTTAGAGAAAAGTCCATTTATTTTCATTACATTTTTCACGATAACTTTGTTCTACATTTCTTTTTTAAACGCAAATTTGTTATTTTAAAAAGGGGGGGATACAAGAAAACCACACACAACCATTATCCTTCCCACCCAAATACAAAGGTTTTATTTGAAGTAATAAACAGTTCTATGAGTTTCAACACATACAGTTATGGAACCGCCACCACCACAAACAAGATACAGAATGTTCTATCACCCCCAAAATTCCCTTGTACCACCCCCTTTATTTTCAACCCCTCCCCTCCAACCTACGCACCTGCAGTTGTGTTTTCTTTAATCCTTATAAACAAGTTTTTGTTTTTTTAAACATTAGCAGGACTCACTTTCTAATTTTTTTAAAGATTTTATTTATTTATTTGAGAGAGAGGGAGAGAGCATGAGTGGGGGGCGGGAGCAGGCAGAGGGAGAGGGAGAAGCACACTCCCCACTGAGCAGGGAGCCCAATGCAGGGCTCTATCCCATGACTTGAGCCGAAGGCAGACACTTAACTGACTGAGCCACCCAGGCGCCCCATAAAAACAAGTTCGAAAGTTATAAAATCTTGGTATCCTTGGTAGAGTACATTTTTTTCACTTCTAGATTGTTTTTGTTTTATGCAAATATAATCATTCATTCCGCTCATTCTCTCCTTTCCTCCCTCTCTTCCCATCCCTGCCCCTCTTTCACATACACATGCCCCCATATAAGCTCCAGGAGGGCAGGAACCAAAATGGTTGGTAAAGGAATATTTAATCACAATTTTTATATCAGTGGGACCATATAATAATGGAAAAAAGTATAAGCTTCCTTTCACTCAATGATACACCTCAGATATCCTGCCATGTCAATAATTACTGGAAGTGACAGAACTTCTTTGAGTTATGGTATCTAAAGATCTGTAAAAAGTTCCTCACTTTAGTCAGAAGAAGGGAGAAATGTATGCAAATATGAAAAGCCATCTTGGAGACTTTGCAATATTATTTATCTAGTGAAAACAAAACCAAATATGTTCTAGTTCACAAAATACTTTAAAAAAAAAACACTAAATTTTAATTCTGATCCACAAAACAACTCTGTGAAATATACACTGCAATAGTGTTGTCACGATCTCCTAGACAAATTACAATGTAGATGGCCAACTCCAACATCTCTAGATTCACATATCCAACTGCCTGTCCAGTATCTCCACTTGATTGCCTAATAGATGTTTTCAACTTAATGTTTTTCAAATGGAACTCTCACTCTCTCTTTCCTCTCAATCAGCTCTACTCCTGGTCTTTCTCCTCTCTGTAAACAGCGTTCTGTATTCACCTAGTTTCTTAGGCTGTACACCTTGGAATCATTCTTGACTCCTCCCTTTCCTCATTTCTTCTATCAAATCCTATCAACTTCAAAACAGAGCCATAATTCTATCACTTCTCATCACAGTCACTGCTAATACTCCAGACCACCATCACCTCTGGCCTGGCTACTGCAGCAACACTCTGACTTGTCTCTTTTTTGGCACTCCTGCCCACCTTTCACCTTCCATCTATTCTTCAAAGAACAGCCAAAGTGATCCTTTTAAAATAAAAGATCACCTCACATCTCTGTTTAAAAGCTACACATAACAAATTCCAAAGTCCTACAAATACCCAACATGATCTTACCACTGGCCCCTTCTCTAACCTCCTCCTCTGCCACTCTCTCTGCCTTGCTCACTATACTCCAGCCACTGTGGCTTTCTGTCACATCTTGAAAACACCAAATATGCTTTATCTTTGAGCCTTTGCATTTGCTTGCTGTTCCCTTTCCTTGGAACACTGCTCCAGAAATCTGCATGGCTCAGTCTCTTGCTGTAGACCTATGTTTAAACGTCAAAGCCTCACAGAAGCCTTCTCTGGCCACCCTATCTAAAACAGGCACCCTCCTCTCATCCCTGCCACTCTATATCTCTTCAGCCTGACATGATTTTTCTTTTAAAGATTTTATTTATTTATTTGAGACAGAGAGCATGAGAGAGGGGAGGGTCAGAGGGAGAAGCAGACTCCCTGCTGAGCAGGGAGCCTGATGCAGGACTGGATCCCGGGACTCCAGGATCATGACCTGAGCCAAAGGCAGTTGCTTAATCAACTGAGCCACCCAGGCGCCCTGACATGATTTTCTTTATAGTACTTATCACTACTTGATATACAGCATATCTCTTTGATTATGTGTTCATTTCCTCTCTCCCACCCTAGAATGTAATAATAGCAGTAATAATAGCTGAGTAGCCATAAATTATTATTATTGCTGCTATTACATAATGTATAATAAATACATGATAATATAATTAGATAATAGCTAAGTAACTTACCACTAAGAAACAGGCAATCTTCTAGATGCTTTCTATGTCTGAATTCATTCAATCCTCAACAACAACCCAATGGGTTAAGTACTATTATCATTCCCATTTTACAGATCAGAAAGGTGAGGCCTACAGAGATGTAAGGTAACATTACCAAGGTCACACAGCTAGCAGGTGATCCAGTTGCAATTCAAACCCTAGCAGGCAGTACCTAAAAGCCACACTGTTAACTACTGCATTCTGCTACTTCACTGAAAGATAGGAGAGCAGGGCCTTAAACTGTATCATTCCCTGCTGTAGTCATGGTGCCTAAAATAGTACCTAATGAAGAGCAGCCTGTCAAAAAATATTTGTTGAAGGAAGACAGCAAGGAAAAAAGGAGAACAAACCCAGACATATTGATAACCTGCCCTGGTTATACAATTAGGAATTTGCACAGCCGAGACTCAAACTTGAGGCTCTGCCTCCTAATCTAGGCTCTTGCAACTCTGGCATGGGATGGCAGATCTTCACAACCTTGTCAGGTCAAATAAAAACTAAAATTACTCACACCTTTACAGATGAAAGTAAAGGGCTTAAAAGGTTAAGTAACTTTCCCAAAGTTCATATATTAACTAACCTAGAAGAATAAACCCACATTTCCAGTTCTTAAGTTGGGGTTTTCTCCATCACATTCTGCTGCCTTCTGAAGATGATAAATATTATTGGCTCACTGAGTTAACCCATCCTATGTCCTAGCTGAAATAAAAAACAGACAAATTCCTTGTGTGAAATGTTGGCTGCAAGGGGCTTTTAAGACTTCCTTTTATTTCCAGATACTAGAATGTCTGCTCTTAGGAGAACATGTGCAATATTCTTTGTGGTTGTAGACTAAACCTTAAAAAGGGGGATAGATACATGCCTCTTTTAATGAATCCATGCTTTCCTTTCCTCTACCAAGTAAGAGCAAAGATGAAAATGGGAAAGATCTTTACATTTGTTTCTGAATATATGAAATGTCCAAAACACACATACACAAGGATAGAGCAAAATATCACAGAAAGAATCCAAGCAATAAAGAACCAAAATTCTGAGCAATCTTTGAAATGTAATAGCTCAGTTGGAACATTTCCATGGCAACAACAGGATTACATGGTTATGTGCTACTTTTAACATTTAGCATATTTTCCTTAGCAACTGACATGATTACCACAAAAAGGTTTCATGGTTTTACAAAGACAAAACAGGTGTTAGAAGGAACAGGCACTTTCTGCTTACAAAATTTTTATTGAAAACATGTAAAAAGAGTAAATAGCTTAGAATATGAATCTGTTTAACTCAAAACGCCTGAGCAGGTCTTGAAGACTGCTAAACACTGGGCTCAGGCCTTCAGCAAAACACACAAGGAGTTACGTAGCTTGCTTAAAGTTATACAGCTAATACAAGTGAGAGCTTCAATTTAAATTCACACCTATTTCTTGAGTATTTATGCTTTCCATTTTGCTAGTAATGTATATAGGTAACAAAAGTTACTGACCTGTGTGTGTGTGTGTGTATTTTTTTAAGAGAGATAGTTAAAGAAGAAAATTGTGTCAAATCTGCAGTACCAACAGAACTAGTTTATTTGGCAAGTAAAGTACCTTCATCAATTCCTCTAATTCCCAGCAGTGATTGTCAAACTTCTTGTGAAATGCTAGAACCTCCTAAGGGTACCTCATGCATTATAATGATTTAATCATCTAGAATGTTAAATAATAATTTTAAATATATATAGAAATTAACAAAGGAACTTATTACCAAGTTTTACTTTTTATAAATTATAATTTTGCCTCAGATTCTACTAGGGGTAAGAAGAAAAGGGTTCTACTCAAACAACAATGACGAATACTGTCTTAAGCTATAAAAAATTTAGTCAAGGGCTCCAAAATATTTCCTGTTGAGGATCTAGTTATTTAAAGTCTTAAATATATTCCAATGTAGGATACCAGTCCATAGCTTTATGTCTGTCCTTTCCTCCAAGCTCTTTCTTGCATGGGAGACTCAATGGCACTTAGTAGCCAGAGGTATTATGGTTATGTGCTAGAAGAAAAACAAAAATAAAATACTCAATCATGAATGCTGGCAGTATGTTTTGGGTTCTGAACCCAATTTTCAGTGGATATGTGGGGGATCTCCCCCACACCATGGAACAACTCAACTCAATTCTGACATTATCTACTTGGAGATAGCAACAGATTCCACAGGTTAAAGGTTTAGTCTCACAAGGCTGCCCCCAACCCTTCAGACACCAGTTTTAAGTCTAGGTTATCACCTGTGCTTTTGATCCACCAGCTCTAGGTTAGAGGTTCTACTGACAACCCCCTCCTTGGGTTCAATTAATTTGCTAGAGTGGCTCACAGAACTCAGAGAAAGAATCTACTTACCAGATTATCAGTTTATTATGAAAAAATATAACTCAGGAACAGCCAGATGAAAGAGATGCATAGGGCAAGGTATGTGAGAAGGGACGTGGAGCTTCCATGCCCTTTCCGGGCATGGAACTCTCCCCAGATCTCCATGTGTTCACCAACCTAGAAGCTCTCTGAACCCTGTCCTTTTGGTTTTGTATGGAGGCTCCATTACACAGGCACAATTGATTAAACCACTGGCCACTGGAGATCTATTCAACCTCCAGTCCTCTGCCTCTCCGCAGAGATCCAGGGGGGTGGGACTGAAAGCTCACAGGGTTGGTTCTCCTGGCAGCCAGCCCTCATCCTCAGATGCAGTCCCAAAGTCACATCATTAACATAACAAAAGATACCTTTATCACTCTCACCAAATTAAGTGAAAGTGTACAGCTTAAAAGTCACTGCTTAAAGCCAGTTATTTGGTTAAAATTGGCTCATTTTCCCTACAAGCTAAGAGAATAAGGGAAAATATTCCCATTTTGAATGAAAAGCTACAGGCATGTCAATGTATGTTAAGCTAATAACCAACTTTTGTAAGAAAGCACAAGTAGGTGGCTTTGAAATTCTTTAAGAATACAGTAGCTACTTAGTATAGACACATATCCTAATATTTAATATTGTAAATCTATAAGTAAATCACCAGAATTCTTCTCTGGGATCCTTAACTCAGCATGTTTATCTCTATTTAAAGCTTTGGTTTTCTCTTTGTTTTTGCCAAAATATCAACACATCTTCTAAAATGAAACACAAAGGTAAAAGAAAACAAAACAACTATTCAGAAAAGAATAAGTCAATTCCACTTCAGTATGAATAAAATTGTCCCAAGAGGGTTCAGATGAGTTACCTTTCTGAAAGAAAAGAAATTTTGCCTTTTAAACAGAAAATGAGAGGGGAAAAAATCTTAAGTTTTAGTTTCAAAAGATCTGTCAAACAGGAGAGAAGAAAAGTGATACCTGTACTTACTGTCGTTGGATCCCATGCTAATGAGGTCATCAGAGTCAACATTGTGAACTATGGCTGCTTTGTATCCTGCTCTCTGGGCATTTAAAACCTGCAAGTCAGAAAACAATCACAATATGAGGAAGAGAGTGCTTTGTCATACAGTCCCTCAGCTTCAACATAAATCAGCATGTGTCTAGGACTAGATTATGTATATATGTAAAAACAGATCCCAAGTATGTTCTTGAAACATAACATGTTTTACAACTGATTATCAATGACTTTGGATATCTTTTTGATTTCATTCATGGCATGAAGTGAATGAGAAGCAAATAAAGGACAGATACAAGCTAAAATACTAAAAGGATCCAAAGCAATAAACCCATCTAGCTCCAACAGGTAGAGACTTGCTATGATCAGGCTCAAGAGTCATCAGCCTTTGGGCATTCAAATCTACCTCTGATGCTTCTTAGGGGGATAAACTTGGACAAATTTTTTTTCTTCATGTGGATTAATCAGAATAATAGTATCCTATCACTGAAAAAAAAAAAAAAACCCAGTCTATAGGAGATAAGAGTGCCTCAAGGAATTAATAGCACCTATGAATCAGCCTCACAGAGTAGGAACTCACTAAATATTACTCATTCAAGAGTAAACGTATAAAATGTGCACTCAAATTAATAGCCCACATTATAACATTAAAAACACAAGAAAGAAAATTAGAGATTTTTTTTAAAAACTGATTAAAGTAGCATAGTTTACCAACACAGGACCTACTGCTCTAAAGTTAAGAATACAGCAAGAAAATTAACCAGCCAACAAAACTGTTACAAGGAATGTTTTGCAGTCCTGCAAGAAAATGTCAATAATCAAGAAAGTTTGCTATTTTTTTTATATGTGCATTTTTAAGTATCCAGCTAAAATTGAGAAAATGCTAGCTCCAAAGCTTCTTCCACATAGATACTACTGCTTTTTCAAGGGGAGGGGAAAAAATACTCTTAAGAAGATATTATAGTTTTATATCTTATTTCTTATTTATTACTTATACATTAATCTATTATTTATTCATTCTATTGCTATAGGAGGAGAGACTTCGCTTAGCTTTTAGTTAAACAAAAGTATACTTGGTTGGGGTTCCTATTAGTTTATTTGATGCTTTAGTGACCATTTTAACTGTTCCCAAAAAGCTAACCCAGTAACTGAGGAGAAACGTTTAAGACATTCAAAAAACAACTGTTCCCAGAGATACAATTTAAGAAATATAAAATTTGTATCAAAAGCTGTTCTCTTCTAATAAAAAAAAAACAAGTTTTAGCTTTCTTTTTAAATCCAAGTAATGCACAGTCATTGAAATTACATGATTTAACTTGTTTCCCTGCAAAATATATGTTTGTGAGCAAAGATACATGATAGGACACACAGAAAGGTGGTCTCAGGAACCATGATAAAGAGTAAAAAAATAAATTCAATTCAATTAGTATTTGTTGAGTTTACAAAATAAAATTACATAAGGTACTGTGCAGCACAGTGTAGAACTCAAAGGTGAATCAGAAACAATCATTATCCTCAAAGAGATCTCAATACTCATGGATGTCCAAAGAGGTAAGGTACTTTCCTGCCTCTGTATTTGCTCATGCTATTGTATCTGCTTGGAACAGGCTTTGTCTTCTGAATGCCTATTGGGCCTTCAAATTCCATTATCTCCATGAAGCCTGCCCTGTTCCATGCCCTGCTGTCTGTGTTTTTTCAAGCACCCATATAACTCCTCCCTGTTTAGAGTATTTATATCAATTTGTTTTCACTTTTCTTAAAGATCTTCTTTAGTGCCTTATATTATACTTACGTATACATGTACTATCCCATTTCAAAAAAAAAAAAAAACCCAAAAACTTTTCATGGGGTCCTTAAATCTCCTGCCGTTGTCTATGTGTGAGCTTTTCTGATAAGGGATAAAGCCATCATCAATTTTACAAAAGGCTTTCTGAACCCCCAAATGTTAAGAGCCACTAATATAAGTTATTGGATTTCCAACAACCTGCTACGTATGTAATTAGATCTAGCCATTAGATTCTTAAAAACTGCATGGAGCAACTGAGGAGAAATGTTTCCTTCAAACATCCAAAATGCAATTGTTTCCATAAATACAATATAATATTATATCAATATCAAAAGCTGTTCTCTGCCAACAAAAATAATAAAATTCTTAAAATAGAAAACTTAGAAAACCACTAAAATAGGCAGGAATTTTGAACATACAAGTGTGAATTCCAAAAATTAGAAACATGTTTTCAAAATTTCAACAAGAAGTCTTCCCTAAGGCTTTTGTTGTTTTTATTGATCTCTAAAATAAAGTATTAAAATTAAATCAAGAAACACATTAACATATGGACCAACAGACTTCTGAATACAAACAAGGAAACTATATCCATGTTTATGAACTACAAAACTCGGGTGTTAGTCAAATTAAATTACATTTTTAACTAAGCAGCAGCTGGTTATATTTTTAAGAACACGAGGCAGAAATAAAACCTAAATCATTTAGTAAACATGTGCAAATTTACACATTCATAAAATGCAACCTCAAACATGGTATCAGATGGAGGCAAAGAACTCAAAGATTCATTAATAAAAAGCATGCACCATGAACAAACCTAAATTCCAAAAGAGACATCAAAACTGAAAATTTCATGGAAAAGCCTTCTGATTTGTATTGCCAATCTGTCTTTTTAAGGAGACTGATCAGAGCTATTAGCTCAAATTGTGGTAAATATTCTAAATATTTTACATCTAATAAACAAATTAGATACAACTAAATTATGTAGACCAGGCGGCACCTATCCAAGAGTTCTGGAGAAATATGGGACTGCTGGCTTGTTATATATAGTAAGTAGCCAGTATGCCAGAAGATTGCAAACTGCTAATGGAAAAACCTTCAGTAAGGTTCTAAAAGGAACCCTGGAAATGACACAATAGTTCATCTTATTTCTAGACTAGACAAATTGGTAATACTAACACTATTAAAACAAGTCCTGTAAGAAGGACTCATTGAGCTGTCAAGATCAGTAAGTAGAGATCTTTTACGGGATACAAAGGCATGAGAAGCTGGGGGGAAACTATCAATAGGATACATGTAACAAGGCTCCAGACTAAAAGCTATAATGAATAAAGGAAACTTCTATATGCTAATGGTTTATATATTATTATCTCTAATACCTAACACACCTCAACCAAGTAGGTATTCTTCTCTACATTTTAGAAATGAGGAAAAATGGGTAAGCGAAAGTGCCCTACAATCACATTTAGGCAGAGCTGAGATTTTGAACATAATTTTATCTGATTAGATAGAGAAGCATGAGGTTTTCCAATGAATCAAGAGGAGAACCAAAATTATGAGTCTTACTTAATGTTTTACAAATGTGTGGGAAAGGAACTGAACTGATAAATCATCAAAACTTACATACACAACATGATTGTAAAACCTGTGGGTCAAATGAAACCTATATGCAAAACAGAGTTTAAGCGAAAAGAAAAGTGCTAAAATATTGTCATAGAGTTTATGGAAACTTAGAGGGGAAATACTTAGTGGGCTGAAATGCGTATCACAGATTTTATGGGACATGAATTACACTTTAACAGAGAGAAGAAATTTGAGCTAACAGTAGAAAAGAGTTGGGGGAAATTTCTCATATGATAGGAAAGAGAAAGAACAAAAGTCAGGACCTAGCAAGGCCTACAAAAACAAAACAAAATAAAACAGAGTTGACGTTACTAAATAAGGAAGAATGTTACTGAAAGGAAGATCAGCAGAGAAGTTAAAAATATAAACCCTTGGAACAGGATTACCTGGATTCAAATTCTGACTCTGTCATATACAAGTTGTATAAATGTAGGCAAGTTAACTTCTCTGTAAGATGAGCCTGATAATATACCCAACTTAAAGAGTTATTCTGAGGATTAAATGATTTAATATATGTAAAACACTTAAAATAGTGCTTAGACAGTACCTGGCACATATTAAATGAGTGCTAGTTATGAGTACTGTCATTGCTATTGATTTTATTGTTACTCTTAGAGAATCTGAGGTGAAAAGAAAGAAAACAAAGGGCCAGATTGTGCAATACTACCTTGAAGACCATTCCAAAAAACAGATATGGGGTCTACTCTCTCAGGGTTCACAGAAGGCAACTGAATAAGGGGCTGACATGGCTGAGGCAGTATTTTAGAACAATCTGGTCTACTTAGATTGATATGGAAAGGAGAAACTGAAGATCTGGAGCTGTTACGACAAGGCAGGATAGAATGATGGCAATGATATGAAAGAACACTAGCTTTTATTCTTCTTCATAAACTAATTTTTGAACCTAGGAAACTTGGGGAATATGCTTAAACAAAAATGGGAAAGCCTGAGCAGCAGAGCTTGTCTTCGCAAGGAAAGAGAAAGGAATGACTCTATATATAGATTTTTCTAGGTAGATAGAATACAACAGATTAAGACTTGAAATAAAAATTTAAAGATTTTCAGCAAATTAATTCACTCATTCATTCAACAAATATTTGGAATAAATCCAGCCACCTGGTTGTTAAAAATAATTAAACTTCTAGCATAATCCATTCAGTTTTACATATCCTTTTTCTTTTAAATAGCCACTCATTTTTTAAGATTTCATTTATTTATTTGACAGAGAGAGAGGGAACACAAGCAGGGGGAGTGGGAGAGGGAGCAGCAGGCTTCCTGCCGAGCAGGGAGCCTAATGTGGGGCTTGATCCCAGGACCCTGGGATCATGACCTGAGCCAAAGGCAGATGCTTAACGACTGAGCCACTCAGGCACCCCCAGTTTTACATTTCTTATAGTCTTCAAACCCCTTTAACATCCATACGTGAACTAAGTGTACTTCATTTTTCCTCTGAGAGGAGAGGCTACACATAAGCAGACCTATGTATATCTCTAAGCTATATACCTGCAAGAATGGTAAAAATTCAACAGAGCTGACTTTCCTTGATGGAAAATAACCTTGAAAAGAACCCAATTATTGACAGCAGAGACACTTGTAACGAGAACTTTTTTTTTATTTGAAACACATTTTAGTTCTAAAGTCTTTATCTGAATTAT